GGGGATGGAGGCGGCTGCCGTGTTATTGTTATTACTGTTCCGCGTCTTGTGGCCGCGGCCCCCGGACCGGTGCTGCTGCTGCTGCTCTTCCTCTCGAAGCTTCTTCAGCTTCTTGAGGTAGACCGGGCGGGTGCTCTCCGTCACGGGGCCGGGAGACAGGCCGTAACGGCGGAGCTGAGAGAAAAGCTCCTCGTCCGAGAGCTGCTGAGGCGCCGAAGCCGCCGCCGCCGCCGCCATTTTCTCTCCAGGGTGTTTTACAAGCTCCGCGCTACCGGAAGTGACGCGCCGCCCTAGACCCTGAACTAGACCGGGCTGCGTCGCCCGCCCAGCGCCGCGCGCCGCGGCCAATGGGAGGCGCGGGAGGAGCTCACCTGAGCGGGAAAGGGCCACCTGGGCGCCGTGCGGCTCCGGGGCGGCGAGGCTTCCCACCCCCACCCCTCGGCGCCCGCACACGCGCCCCCTGCCTCCCTCCGCTCCCCTCCCCTCTTTGCGCTGTCCTCCGCCCTGCCCTTCCCAGAGCCTCCCCGGAGCTGCCTCTCGCTCAGCCACCTTGACCTCCTGCTCCCGGGACCCCGCCACGGGGCAGGAGCAATTGAAATGCAATCTCCCTGGAGGCTCCCGACGTTAGTTTTCTGTAATCCAGGACCCCTCTGCCGAGGGGAAGCCTCCCAAGACTCAAAAAGAAACGGCCAGACGAGATTGGTGATGTCCCTGCCTGACTCCAAGTTCGCTTTGCATGTTGTCTTTCTGCTTGACTTACAAAAAAAAAAAAAAAAAAAAGTGAGTTTCCCTCGCTGCTCTTTTTTGAGAAGCCTCCACTCTAGGGAGAAGATACAGGGTAGACCAGTCACAATACAATTTTCTTCAAAAGTAAGGTCTATTCATGTCCTTCGTTTGTTGTAAGGTATTACCATGTTTTTCCCCTTTTTAAATCTAGTGACCTCGATAGGTCATCATTTCTGTAATCGAGAGATACTATTACTTGCTTCATTCTATGACTTAGCACCTTTCTAACCTATAGTTATTTGTCTTTGTAAATTATTGCTTTTATGCATCTATATTTTTAATTATTTATTTTATTTTTTTATTGTGCTAGCCCTTTGGACGCTAAGCTCCACCAGCAGAGGACCCTTGCTTTCATTGTTCTCACCGTCAGCCCGATGGCAGCCTAGTAGTTCAATAAGCAAAGCTGGAATAGTATGAGGTTAATATTTTGGCATGGTATTAAATAGTGGCAGATGAGGAGGAGAAACCTTCACACAAAGTCAAAAAAATATAAAACAAACCATTAAGACCTAGATATCCAACCCCCTCATTTACAAAATGAGAAATGAATCCCAGAGAGGTGAAATTTGGCCAGTTTGGTAAAGATTGCTTCCCTTTTCCTCAAACTCTGGCAGAGCTGACGCTTCGTGAGTACTTACACTCTGGTAGCTATACAGCAACACCTAGCACAATATCTGGCATGCTACAGTAATTTTTGGTCGAATGAATTATTTTACCCTATACACATCTACAGAAAAAAAAGTTAGTTTAAAACTTAAATACCAGCTTTTCAATATCCTGAATCCAACAGCAAAATAATACTCAGTAACCTGAACTTTTGATTTCTCTTAGCAAAAGTTCCTTTAAAAAAAAGACAAGACTTTTATCTGGAGGAGCACCTAGTTGTTCTTTATCAACAGACTTAAAAATCTACAAATGTTCTTGAATCTATGACTATTAAAACACTTTTAAGGTGTTCAACACAGTACATTTTAGCCACTATGATGATCATGATCCAGGATTTATTTCCATAATTGGCTGGGTGGGGAGTCAAGTTGTTACAAACTTACCTGAGCTGTGTCTCCCTGTAGCAGGGTGGTTAGGCTTGGGTGGTAAACAACACTGGATATGGACCCAGCCCTGTCTCTCTTATTCTTAGTTCAGCATTTGTTCCATACCCTACTGGCTCTTCAGGTAGGAATCATGGAAGTCTGTTGGTTCAGCCTATGATTTTCATGAACCTTAAATACCCTTCTATAAGGATTGTAAGGCCATTTATATTTCTGCCTGTGGCTTTGAACAAGTTATTTAACAGTTCTGAGCCTTAGTTTCTGCGTGAACAAAGAAGGAAGGATAAGGATTAAATAAGAGTGTGTCTGCATAATGCTTAGCACCACACCTAACACACAATGTGCACTCAATAAATGTTAGCCAATAATGTAAACCCAAGCATTGTGTGTGTGTTTGGTAGCATGGTTCATGAGAACTCCAAGTAACAGCAATTAAAATGCCACTGCACAGATAGAAATATAAATGGTGAAACTTTTATATCAGCTTATATTGAAGGACCTTCTAAAGAATGATATGAAACCTAACAATATGTTCAAATAAAGATATTGCTGAGGGATCATTTCCTTAAAGGATTTAAATAATCAGGTTTAGTATATGTGCTGCCGAAGCGAGCACTAAATAATCAGATTTAATAGTTAATGAAGATGAAGGGCTTTGCAACCATGATTCTTGGTCATTTTAGCCCTTGGGGGCAGCAAGGTTTGTAATGAATTAGGAATCAAAGGTCTCAGAGTCTCCAAGTTATATGACAAATCATAGGCTCTGTGAACTTCAATTTATCCTTTTCTAAAATGTTGATATTGCCTACCTTTTCTGGCACACATTTAGTATTCAGTATTTGTTGAGAATGATGAATAAATATTGTTTGTGAAAATGCTGTTCAAATATGTTGTTTACATATTCTATATTATAGCCAGATACTAATAACAATGAAAACTACAATTGATATGAGCTTTACACTTTACAATGAGCTTTCATATACATGGGCTCATTTAATCTACAAGAAATCTTACCTCCGAAGATACTGATTTATTGTACAGAACTAGGGGGTTATAATTATCCTTTGTTTGGATGTTTGATCAGATCTGACACTTGCTCAGAACTTTCACTGCCTCAGCATTTTCACTACTCGCTTCCAACATTCCCCACATTTACCAGTAGATCTTACTCCTACTTCCAGATTGGCTAACTTTTAAAGCATGAGGCTCTAAATGGGCAATCTGCAACCACATATTGACAGGGAATGCAATTTCAATTTCACTCCTGCTTCCAAAAATTTGACTAAGGGAAACATTTATGATGATTTCCAGAAGGATTGCCAGTCCATCTTTCCCTCTAGATTTTCTTTTTAAGAGAACAATCTTTTTTAAAATATATTTTTTTTATTGATTTCACATAGGAAAGGAGAGGGAGAGAGAGATAGAAACATCAATGATGAGAGAGAATCATTGATTGGCTGCCTCCTGCAGGCCCCCCACTAGGGAACAAGCTCACAACCCAGGCATGTGCCCTGACCAGGTATCAAACCATGACTCCTGGTTCATAGGTCAACACTCAACCACTCAGTCATGCCGGTCAGGCATCCCTCTAGATGTTTTTAATTTTATCTCTGTCTTAAGCCTGCTCATCAGAGACCAGTGTAGCTTGAGCCACATTACTAACACCAAACTCACCCTGGTTCCCAGTAAAATACCTTTCCCCATGTTGCCGTTTATAGTTATGACATCAGCTTACATTGAAGGACCTTCTAAAGAATGATATGAAACTTAATGTGTTCAAATAAATATATTGCTGAGGGTTCATTTCCTTAAACAATATTCTTTCTGGTCTCAATATTAGAAATAGTTGCACTTTTCCAACAACTCATTTGTTTTTTGTTTTGTTTTTGCTTCATTTTCTTTTTAATGGTGGTGCAATTCACATGGCATCAAATTAACCATTTTAAAGTGTACAATCAGCGGTATTTAGTACATTTACAATGTTGGACAACTATCACCTCTTTCTGGTTCCCAAACATTTTTAATCCCTGCCAAAGTAGATCTTGAACCGATTAAGCAGTCCTTCCCTAGTTCTCCCTCTCTCCAGACCCTGGCAACCACTAATCTACTTTCTGTCTCTATGGATTTAACTATTCTGGATATTTCATGTAAATGGAATCATACCATATGTGACCTTTTTTTAGGACTCCTTTCACTTAGCGTAAGTTCATCCATGTTGTAGCATGTGTAGTATTTACTTCTTTTGCTGAATAATATTTTGTTTATTTATTCATCCATTGATAGATATTTTGGTTGTTTTCACCTTTGGATTAAGGTGAATAATGCTGTTATGAACATTGGGGTACAGGCATATGAATACCTGTTTTCAATTACTTAGGGTATATTCCTAGGAATTACAGATTATATAGCAATTCTATTACTTTTTGAGGAATCACAAAACTGCTTATTTATTTTTAACTTTATGGATGGACACTGTTGGTTTACTGACTTGCTATGTATCCCTCTTTGAGAAAACAGCCAGAAAATTCAGACTCAAGTATGTAGTACAAATGTAGAAAGTGTTTAGGGTCCCATCACATATATTTTATAAGTTATTGCCACTGCTGATGCCACTTAAATTGCTTAATTTTATTTTTGTATGCTTCATTTTTTTTAAAAAATATATTCCATTGATTTTCCACAGAGAGAAAGGGAGAGAGACAGAGAGTCAGAAACATCGATGAGAGAGAAACATCGATCAGCTGCCTCCTGCACATTTCCCACTGGGGATGTGCCCACAACTCAGGCACATGCCCTTGACCGGAATCGAACCTGGGACCCTTCAGTCCGCAAGCCGACGCTCTATCCACTGAGCCAAACCGGTTTTGGCTGTATGCTTCATTTTTAAAAACTGGTTTTAACTTTATTTTATCTTCTTAATATGGCATGCATGTTTTTAGCTCCCTTTAATCATTTTGTGAAAACCATACAATTCCTCTTGTTGTAGGCAGTGGGAAGGGCACCAGGTGTCTGACCTGTGGGGTCAGATGGGACCTGGGTCAGCAACTTCGGTACTTCAGTTCTGGCTGGGAAAGAATTCAGAGCCAAGACCCACACTGTAAGAGAACATTGATTTGGTAAATCAGAGAGGTAGAAGAAGTAATTCCTAGAAAAAATGGGCTTAGGAAACAAGCTATAGAGGTAAAGGAAGGGCCCTTGGAGCTTCTGAGTGAGGAAGCTAAAGGTAACAGGCCTGGGGGCAGGTGGAGGGGGAAAGTCCTGGGAGAGTTGGTTGTGGGGGGAGGGGAGAAGAGTGCTCTGGGTCCTCTGTCCTAAAGGTTTTAAGGGTGAACATTTTAGGGGAGGTTCCAAAATGTCCCAGGATAAGATCTCAGTAGAATATTCAGCAGTTTTCCTGGTGTGTCCTTTTAAGGTTGTGGTCTCCACTGACTGATTAGCTGGCAC